TGACATTTGAAAAACCTGGACAAATATACATCCACAACAGCACCTGTGTGCTCGGCCAAGCCAAACACCGTCTATCTGAACGGTAAACCAGCGTTTGCTACTCGGCCAGGAATCAATATCACAGGATTGATCCTGTTGCTGAAGCCTTCCTGACATATGTTGATGAGAACTGTCAATGGTGTTTATTGTCAAAAATTTAACAGATTACACCGTCAAGAGAATCAAAGACGTTTGTGTCACGAGGTCTTGGCGCGATGACAATGAAAGGTATTACACAAATCTTGAAAAAGATTTAAGAAGCGAGGGAACATTTGGTGGTTATGGACAGTTTTCATCGCCTGTGCATGCCACCTGTTGACTTTAAACTCACACTACTGCTTCAAGGAATTAGACACAGGGTGTAAAAGAACGGGATTAGCATGTACGAGGAGGTCTGTGTGGGAGTTCTGACACGTTCAGTAAAATAAACTTGTGAAATTAAAAATGTTAAAAGTGAAATCAAAAACAGTGAAATAGACATGTTATTAACAATACAGCAGATACAATTAGTGAATGTCAAATGTAAGACGTATCAAATGCAGAAATTACATTAAAATGTATAAAACAGCACAAATGTTCATAACAATACATTAACCTATGATACAGACCATGAGACTGACACTAGAGCAAGGTAGGGGAATAAAAAGGTTGGAGTTTTTCTGAAAGGATGTTGGAAAATCCCCCTGGGAGTCAACCTTTGGCTTGGGAATATTTTTTTATTGCTCCAGACAAACACAGACTCAAGGAGAGAATGCGAACACATTGTTTCTACAAGATACAAGATTACTGGGAGTTTACAGGTAGAAACCGGGGTGCAATTTCAACAGTCAAATAAGTGTCAAAAAATATACCGCAAATGCTTAAAATGTTTAGGTTTATCTTAGAAAACAATGCTGAATGCTCCACAGATTAGCTTGCACTTACTGAAATCTAAATTAAGTTTTAAAAGATTTTTTCCATTGAAAGTAGCTGCACTTAAACTCTCAAACAAAAGGACAGGCATTTTGGGTGCATTACAGAACAATTTAGCAATTCAGATTTTAATGATAGTTCTATATTTGTGTTTTATTTTAGTGTGTGTGTGATCTAAAAACTTAAAGATTTAAAGCGAAGAAAGCCTGGTGACAATCATGGTCTTATTATATAATATCATTAACATTGAACATAAGATTGATTTAAATTTAAAATCTAAAATTGAATTAAATATGTAGTGATAAATGTCATTAAAACAAAATTAGTAACTGTACTTAGTTTCTTTCAGAAACATAATTGTCAATATAGGGCTTTTCAAAACACAAAAGAATTATTTTGGATCTCTCTAGAATGTTCAAAGGACAAAATAAATTACTTATTGCATATGCTGTAGAAAGGTGACACATTATTTTTAAGAAATTCATGTATTGAGATATTACTTTTGAACATTCAACAGAGGGGAAAATAATTATTATCTCATCTTATTTCTATTATTAGTTTTTAATCAATTTCAAATTATTAAAAATTGAAATAAAAGAAAACTAAAAGTGAACAAAATGTAATTCATTCTTCATGTACACATCACATATTTCAATATACTCACCCAAAACAAATACCAACAAGTGATGTCTAGACAAAGTTATTATCAACGTATTTCCGATTACCAGTAACCATTGCTACACTGAAGGTCTGTCCCGCGGTTCTGGCTCTGCCTGGATCAGGCACATGTACTAACATTTCTTCCCCTGGAATTCATGAATGGGTGGTTTAACATTCCTGTTCAAATATAGGACCATGTTCATAACATGGACTAAATATGAATATCCCTGGTTGTTATTGCCAGTCTGGTTTTTGTTGTTTTTGTCAGAATCATGAGATGTCAACATCTCATGGCCAAATCTAGAACTATGGAAGCTGACTGTCAGAACAGGGAGCATGTCAACAGTTAGTTTTTCCAATATCAATTTCTCAATAAAAATACACACTTTCCTGAATGGTTCAGTTGTTAGTACAGAAAATAACAACAATTCCATGTTCTATCTTGATTATCAACTCAAATGTAATTGTTGTTTAATTCGTGTTTTGTTCTTTGTTCTTGTTAAAAAAAAAGAATGTTCACTGTTGAAATTATCCCTCTTGTCAATTTGTTAAACCCTTGTCAAGAAAACAAAAGCAAACAAAATGTGGGTGTCTAAGGACTTAAGTATTGAAAGCAATTTTAAAATAGATGAAAATTATCAAACAGTGAAAGCAATTTACAATGAAATCAGTTTATAAAAACCTAACTTGGCGGATGTTGGATGTTCAGGAACCTTGGTTAAATATATCACCAGCTCAATTTCTTTAACCCTGAAATGCTAAGGACAACTATCACATAACTTCATATAAAAGATAGCTACGCGATAAATCGCAAAGAACAATGAAGACGAAGTGTGGTTTATTCCACGATAAAACATTGGTCAATTATGACGTCATTTCCGGAGATTTGAACATGCGCTCGCAACTTGGTGATGTCATAAATTTAGATGACGTTATATTTGAGAGGGCAGTGAGTTGTTTCCCTTAGTTGTAGATGGGCAATGTTGATAAACGCAATGGCCGCGAACGACCTCACCAAAAAGTGGGAGGTATGGCAATGAGTATCAGGAGAAAAAGTACAGATAACCGTCGTGAAAAGTGCGAGAATATTCATGAAATGCCAAACGTAAGCCCCCTGTCCATGAAATGGACTTGTACTTACAATATGTGTATGCAAACAGTATGGCATGTCTTGGTACCTTTATCCAATATTGACTAGTACACATAAACCACAGCACAACATTTTTTAATTCTTAATTAAGTTTTCATGTTGACGCGGTTGCACTGGCTGGTTAATAAACATTTCTTAATAAGACCTGGGTACTTTTCAAGGTAAATTCACCTTTTCCTCAATTAAACACTTTGCCAAACTCACATGCTTCCCACCTGCAAGACAGATGCAAGATGGATGCATTAATATGCACAGAATCAGCAACAGGACCTCTTCACATCATATCTAAATTCATCAATATGATTGGAATCACACAAGGATGTCTGATAAGGTCACTATCTTGACTGCATGCTTAAAACTATCTCAAGTAAAATACTCAACCACTTTCAGTATGTCCACTGGTCAGCAAAGGGGCCTTACGGGTGTTTGGATATGATTGTGCTGGGACATCTTAAAGACGTTTGACATCATCTTACTTCTGTAAATATTGCAATGTGTGTGGACTGTACAAAAATATCTTCTTTTTCGCACGTTAGTTCATAATCTAATAAAAACATTATTTCAAAACCTTTTAGCATACTGTCTTCTTTGATTTAATCAGACATTATATCTAAAAACTGCAATTATTACATAAACAGTTATAGGTCTGAAAATGGGACTTTTCAGAAATGAGTCCAAATGTTTGATGCCATCTATCTCTGTAATATATATGAATTGAAGCTGATGAATTGTAGTTTTGAGTTGAACCCCACCAGCACGGGTATGGCACTGACAAACCAAGACATATGAACAAGGACAATCAGGGATTGGAAGCCACAGTCAGGTTTATTGAACACCTAAGGGACATAACTCTGCACAGTGTATTACAGTGCAAAAGGACTGGACAAGACAAGTTCTCCATATATTATTTGATGCATTTGAACTAACACATGTCACACATAAGGGATTTTTATCTCAATATCAAGCAAACTACAATCTATTTGTGAATTTCAAACAGTCTATTTTAATTAGCTGTTGAACGTCGTGCCTCCATACAACATGAAGTCCCAGGTATGGTCACATATTTCACACAAGCAATAAAGCCATCACATTGTCTGAGATCAATTGGAGCCAAGAGCTTCTTGAAGACTTGAGCGCTATCAATGTGCTATCAATGTGCTATCAATATGACTTAATCCATCATACTTCAGGTGACGCCTTGTCAATCTCTCCACACATTCCCAGAATTCCAAGAGTATCCAACAAGAAGCACACATTAATCCCCTCATGAGAGTGGGTAAACATCACATTATAATCTTCAGGGTGATATATACCCCATATATACCCCATATGTACCCCATATATATCCGATATATACCGGACATAAACATCTTAAGCTGTGTAGCACCATATCAAATTGGGTCCAATACATCTTACTAATGGGATCTCGTTGAGGTATTGTTTAATAAGAACCTCTTTGAGACTCTAAAATACCAATATGGAGGCAGCTTGGTGTTACAGAAAATTGACATTTTGGGGCAAATTAAAATATGATGAGCCTGAAATCTACATCATCCCAATCAAACTATGTCACTGATTTACAGAAACAAACACCGCTGATTTGAAGATCTTTAGGATCTGCTGGAAACTGGCTGGCCTCCTAGCCTCCCTATCAGGGATGTGGTGTGTTCTACAGTGCTCCTCTACACTCATGGTATTGCAGCCAGACCATCCAGATATTAATTACCCTACAAAACTCTTGCTGTGCAGCACTGCTCATAGGCTGACATTTTGTCCCAGAAATATTATCTTATTTAAAATATATATATCTACAAAATATATATATATATTTATAATCCAAATGGAGCCCCAAACAATCCTTAATTTCAGCCTGGAGCTGAAGCAATCTAGACTTAACAAATCATTCTAGACTTTTTGGACTCCTTTTCAATTTTTTTCTCCAGGGTCTTGGAGACAGACTACACTGCTCAGAATATAGCTTTACCATTCTCACACCAATCAGTAACTTTGGTATATTTTGTATATTTTATGATGCTTCGGTCAATTACTGGTGAATGATTCCCAGTACATGCGGGTACACAATTGCAGAATTAACACTATAATGTGTCCCTATAAGTTTCACTCCAACAATTGCCAAACAACTTGTAATATTTTGAGGCATTACCCTGCTCAGAGCAGAACAACAGTCTTGACACACACATGCTTATGAAACATGACAATTCCAAAAATATATACTCACAAATACCAGTCTGTCTCCCTCCATATTGAGCTTTTGTATTTCATTCTTGAGGTCAACTAGTCTGCGCTGGAGGTCTGCAAAACTCCTACTGTCATCACCCATGACAGAGTCCCCGGCCATGTGGAGACTGAACCAGCTATCTGCCTCCAGACTCGACGCTGCAACAGTCACAATTAAGGTCTTGTAAGGATGCTTACGATGTAGGAAAGCTTCCACACATTACACATTGCCACACGTACTTGTCATAAAGGTCTGTGCACAGCCAAGACCACAAAGATGGTAAACAGATGCCGGAGGTAGCATTGCATGTAACCTCTGGCTTCCATAACCATGGAGAGTCGGGGAGGGATGTCATCACGTATCGCTATATCGATGTATCGGCAGTGCCGTAGCCAGCCGGGGGGAAGGGGGGCCAGTTGCCCTCATAGATTTTTCATAGAAACAGTTTTATTTGAATCAAGTTGGGGACAGGTGATACTTGTACAAATATTTGCCCCCCCCCTGTCAAAAAAATTAACTACGGCCTTGATTGGTAACTGTTTGATGTTGATGCTGTACTGATACAAATATATGAACATCAATACGTGTAAATCAATAACTTATGTCCACAGAAATATGAAATGTACTAACATCACAATGCTTAAGATGGACAGTGAAGAGGCAGAAAATTCAATTTTATAAACTAAATGGAAGAACCTTGTATATTTTTAGCGTCAAATTGATTAATTGAAGGTGTACATAGTAAATGTTTATATATACACATATGGAATAACTTATCTTAATACTGACTGATATATCACGATACTTTTCAGTCGATATCTCCATACTAAAATTTCCAATCAATGACAACCCTAGAATCAGGTCTAAGTGAGTGACTGCTTCGAAAAATATTTCAGGTATACAACGGTGTGTGAGTACAGTGAAGACTTTCACATATATATCATGGTATATCAGCTTGATGTGGGAGGAAGCTCGCAGTGATGCAGGTCTCGACAATTACCCCTTGGTGAAACGCTCAAGACCGGGTGTGGTGCTGACAAACCTAGAAACAGTATCAGGGCCAACTGGGGCTTGAACCCATAGTCACAGGTTCCTGGCTCACCCAGGGGACACAATTCTGCACAGTGAATTGTGGCGCCTTATAAAACAAAGCCCCCCATGCCTCCTCCATTAGAGAAACTGAAAATACGGAATCTAATATTTAGGACTCAGAAACATGGTCCTTGCATGGAAAATGGATGCATCTCTACATAGTGAATTGTGGAAACACTGACCACTGATCCAGAACCAGGCCTTAGAGATTACCTTGCCAGTCGTGCCTCGTTTATACAGACACATGCGTCATTTCACAATTCGTCCGTATAAACGAATTTCTGTATAATAACTGAAACCAGCTTCTTACTGGAAAAGTTACTTCCCTTCAATTATGCAACTCATGACAGATGACAGAGCAAACAGATACATCCACTCAATCTTTATTCAAGACATACACGTTTCCAAAAGATTTAGCCACTTCTGTTTGATTTTCCTATGGTATGTCCAAATTCAGTGCCATAATGCTTACTGATGGTTTCCAAACTTGCTGACGGGTGTTTTTCCTTATACAGACAAATTTCCCTTTTTTCGCGTTCTGTAACTGCGTGTCGCTTATGTTTTGCTGGTGACAGGCCATACTCACAGTTTGAAGTCACAACTTTGACCTCTGACCTCCACAGACGCCATATTTATCGAATGGGATTACATGTACAATAAACAAGCTCGTCTCAAACGTAACTCAGTGTCACTTGGTTAATTGACTTCACAGGAATCAAAGGATTACCACCAGCGGAAGTGTATTGTCCGGGTAAGTGAGACAGTTTTGTGTGCATTTCAGTGTTTTGTGTATGAAAATGACCATCCGGTTCCGGAAACTGAATTTCCGTATATACGGGTAAATTTATATAGTAATTATTTTGTTTTGAATGAAATCGTCCGGGAACCGAGGTTTCCGGATATCTGAAGTCCGTATAAGCGGGGCATGACTGTATTCCGTTAGACAAGTAATAGTCACAATATGAATTCTCATATCTTGCTTTTGATACACCTATAGCTAATTCTCTTTTCTTAGATTACATATCAATCAATCAAGTTTATTTCGAAATTCAGGCAACATGGCTCATAGTACAATTGTAAGTTTCTTATATTTAGGTCACATGTCCAGAGTGTTACATCTTTGTCGATCTCATTTGAAATAATTTAAACAAATATACAGCAATCAAGCATAGTACATTCTTATCACAGGAGTTAAATAAGTATGCAAATGTTATTCTACCTTTTTAATGTCTGTAATCAGGTAAGAAAACTATTTCTCAAGTGAATTTATTTCATACACACACAAAAAGATATGGTATTCATCCTAATTGAAGGTCACAGTCTACAGATTCCATATGTTAACACTGTGAAGAAGTAACCTAGGTAAAAATCTGTCGGCTCTATAATGCATCAAGGCCAATGATAATCACAACAATCAGCCCAAGTATAACACCCAAAATACATTTTGTTTGTACCCCATTTTGCATGTCATGAAAATTGTGATATTTTCAGTAGCATTACTATATCCAAGATGCCATAATTGTCTCTGTAAAAATTTGTTACACTTACTTGTAGACTTTGCCTATTTTGAGGTTATCATTTTCGCAGAGAAATTGTTGATTCAAATTTAAGATTTTATCCATGAATGATAGGAAAAAAATAGAACTGCACTAATCGCTTACACTCTGATAACTTTCCCAACTGAATTATTAAAACATATTAGTTGCTTTATGCTGACTGGGGTATGACATGTACTAGGGTATAATACTTGATACTATGTACATGACTTGTGTCACTTAGAACTTTCATCCCATCAAGCTGACACACAGTCATACAACAGCAATATTGTCCATCCCGACACAAAGCGACTTTATAGACGGAACTGTACCCAGGGAATATTGCCATTCCTAAAATACAAACTTAAATGTTCCATAAAACTTACAAATTGGAAACATTGTGTACAGTGAGAATTCAGTGGTGCATCATGACTGAGAGCCTGGCCTGACTGGAGCCCTGTCTTCCAGAACACAATGGACAAGGCAGGGCCAGCATGGGCTGCACAAGCTGTGGTGGCAGCACAACAAGCAGTGTATTGTCCATCAGTGTCAGGGAGTCTCTGGGATGGCAAACTCCCATGGTATTCATGATTAAGGTTTGCTATTCATTCATGTGGGCTAGACTCAGTGCATAAACCTCTCCACCTCACTGCAGGTATATCAAACAACGCCTGGTTGATCTTTGCTCTTCGTTGACAGATGCACAATTACACAAACAGTGGATGATAATTATACTGCAGCAAATTCATAGAAACTGAATACGGTTTGCGGAAAATATTTTCAAACCTATTTCTGCTGTGTGGTTTAGTCCCTCTGTGTCCCTCTGTACATAGGTACTTGTCTGTTTGTTTAGGTCAGGACACTGTTTGTTAGTTGAGGTCAGGGCACTGTCTGTTAGTTGAGGTCAGGACACTGTTAGTTGAGGTCATGACACTGTCTGTTAGTTGAGGTCAGGACACTGTCTGTTAGTTGAGGTCAGGACACTGTCTGTTAGTTGAGGTCAGGGCACTGTCTGTTAGTTGAGGTCAGGACACTGTTAGTTGAGGTCATGACACTGTCTGTTAATTGAGGTCAGGACACTGATTGTTGAGATCAGGACACTGTTAGTTGAGGTCAGGGCACTGTCTGTTAGTTGAGGTCAGGACACTGTCTGTTAGTTGAGGTCAGGGCACTGTCTGTTAGTTGAGGTCAGGACACTGTTTGTTGAGATCAGGACACTGTAAGTTGAGGTCAGGGCACTGTCTGTTAGTTGAGGTCAGGACACTGTTTGTTGAGGTCAGGGCACTGTCTGTTAGTTGAGATCAGGACACTGTTAGTTGAGGTCAGGGCACTGTCTGTTAGTTGAGGTCAGGACACTCAACCTTTGATGGACCTCACCCAAAGACAGTATAGGGGAGATAACTCTCACAAGTTGCAAGCCCATGTTCAAATCTCCAGAAATAACGTCATGATAGAACAATGTTTGATCTAGGAATAAACCACGCTTTGATCTTCATGTTCTTTGTAACTAACCGCATTGCTACCTGATATAATAGGGTAATACTAAAAAAGGGGCAATTTATATTTTTAGGCAGAGGGAACATACAGTAGTCTTACTCATCTGAATTGAAATCGATGTTATAGAGATACAAAACCCCTTTACCAGCGATCATCTATTTCTAAAAGGAATTCAATCAGGCTAAATATCAAATGTTAAACTTACATGTCACTGTTTTAAACAAAGGATCGTCTTCTTCTGATGAATTCATTTTGGATGATGATGTGCCCCAAATGTCAGTGAAACTGTCGTCAATGTTTTTAAAACTAACCAAAACTTTTTCAGGAATTTCACTTGTCAGTTTATGATTGTTATTTTTGGTATCACAGTTCTGGAAAATTCTTGCTCCTGAGGTAACTTTTCGAGAGGATTCTTTCTTGTTGAAAGGGTCAAAGGTGAAAGGTATGTAGATTTCACCAGCATCCAAGTCTGCTAGTGTAATTTTCTTCTCTGAAAAGACAATCACAAATACACCATATGAAATATTGGGAAATGGATACAATAGGGATAATCTGGGTGCTGGTTATCATTTACTTATCTTATCTATTTTACATTTCACTGCCAACCAAACTGATAAACAAGATATAGTTTTGTATTCTTGCCATCTAAACTTCAACACACTCACTCCAGTTGACACTTCTTGTGTGTATACATCTGCACCATCACAACCCTGTAAATATTGCTTCACCATCACGACCCTGTGAATATTGCTGCACCATCACGACCCTGTGAATATTGCTGCACCATCACGACCCTGTGAATATTGCTGCACCATCACGACCCTGTAAATATTGCTGCACCATCACGACCCTGTGAATATTGCTGCACCATCACAACCCTGTAAATATTGCTGTACCATCACAACCCTGTAATTGCAGCACGATCACGACCCTGTAAATATTGCTGCACCATCACGACTCTGTAAATATTGCTGCACCATCACGACCCTGTGAATATTGCTGCACCATCACGACCCTGTGAATATTGCTGCACTATCACGACCCTGTAAATATTGCTGCACTATCAGGACCCTGTAAATATTGCTGTACCATCACAACCCTGTAATTGCAGCACGATCACGACCCTGTAAATATTGCTGCACTATCACAACCCTGTAAATATTGCTGCACCATCACGATCCTGTGAATATTGCTGCACCATCACGACCCTGTAAATATTGCTGCACTATCACAACCCTGTAAATATGCTGCACCATCACGACCCTGTGAATATTGCTGCACCATCACAACCCTGTAAATATTGCTGCATGATCAAGACCCTGTAAATATTCCTGCTCCATCACAACCATGTAAATATTGCTGCACTATCACAACCCTGTAAATATTGCTGCACGGTCAAGACCCTGTAAATATTGCTGCACCATCACAACCGTGTAAATATTGCTGCACTATCAGGACCCTGTGAATATTGCTGCACTCTCTCAACCCTCAACATACCTTTCTTTTGTTCATACAACTGGTGAAATGGATCCGGGTCCTTTGTAGCTTTTGTGTGGATCGCCCTTAATTTCTGAAATAGGAAGTATCTGTCAGTAGCAACATCCACAGCCATGTGTGTACACACCCTATCATACTGTACACACGCTGGCATTATGTTTTACTGAACCCATACATCAGTGCATATTTTAATATTCCCAGCCCTGTTATAAAGCATGCCAGAGCCATTATTACCCACTGTACCATAGACAATCTGCACATCCTTCCAAATCAACCTCATATTGTCAATTTGGCATGTTTAGATTTGTACATTCAAAATTGAAAATGAGATACAGAATCCTTTAATATCAGTTACAGTGATGAACGCAATGAAATAGATTCACTTGTTACAGAGTAAATAATTTGAAGCATATAAGGTGTTAATTATAACATACACAAACGCAAGAATGGGTAGTAACAGACCTCAATCATTGCAATATACATTAACAAAATTAATGAGAAATAGGGCAATATGCACTGTGAAGTCCTATAAACAAAGTTACAACCATAAACATGAACAAAAGACGATTGACAGAGATGTGATCTATGATATAATTATTTCATCCACATTATCCTTCTATTCCACATGTTAATGTTTAGAGCAACAAAATTATTGAAGATGTTATCAATTCCATTCAGGGATCCCTATAGAACCAAAATGTCCTAAATCAGACACTAAGAGGCTGGCTCCACAACAAATGTCATTGTATACATTCCCTGTATAGAAATTAACCATAACATGAATCTAATGACATTCGATCTGGAAGTCACTTTAGTTATCACCAGCCAGGGCTTAAAGGTTTGTGCTGACACTGAGGGCAACAGAATCTAGGCTGGGAGAATAAAGGGGGATAACTCTATTGTCAACATTTGGCTCCAGTAGGCTTAAAGTATTTGAAATCCAAGAAACTGTTTCAAAATATAGGCCTCTGATATTATATTTCAAATTTCACGGGACATTTACCTCAGAAAATCAACAACCTTTCTCATATGGTATCACCCAGTGAGGATACAACTTAGATCCCCATCACTCTATCTCTTGTCATAGAGGTAGCCAAACTGAATGTGGTGGTCAGGTTAAGTTGATTGATTGATTGTCATGTGATGTTGCTCCTAACATCAACCACTTGCTTGTCGGGTCTGTCACTTACAGGCTACCATGCTATAAGTGCAATATTGGTAGCTAGCTATGTGGGTATCTGACCTTGTTGAGCTCTGTGGTGCCACTCTTCAGGTTGCGGATGTCTTCATTCAGCCGCTGTTCCTCCAGGATGATCTTCACTGTGCTCTGCCGCACACGCTCATGTTCCTTCTTTAACCTGCAACAAACCCCAGATACATACAACACCATGATACATATGATCAAGCACCTGCCCGGAGAGCGGGAGGTTGGTGGTTTGATCCCCTGGCTGTGACATTCAACACTATGGTACTTCTTGTTACCCTGCCTTCTGCTCAGTATTAAGAGACAAAGCAAGGACTTGTTGGCTCGATGTCAGAATAATGTGTCTGAGTGGCAAATTTGAACTTAATGCTATCCCGCTAGCCCAGGGCTGATCAAATTTTCAAATTTCCCCATTGTTTTAACATTACCTGTGCATTTTATCTTTACCCAGGCTAGAGAAGCTTTTGAGTTTAGTTCTAACCCTGGAGTGGGGTATTCAGGTTTCCCTGCAGCATGGTATCACTCTAAAACTAGCATAAGTCCGGACGAGTGCAAGGAGCCACACACACACATAGCTACATGAGTGAAATAAACTTGAACAGGAAGTTAAACACCATTTCGCCTCACATAACATTCAGATACACAATAATCACTAAATGTGAAGAATTCTGATTGTGTGCCTAAATTTAAAAATTTGAAAAGAGATTTTAATCTGAACAGCCAGTCAACTATGCTATCATTATTACAAAAAACAAATGTTGAAAATATTATTTTACAAAATGCTGAAACACCCTGATAATACCTAGAAAATAACAACTTTTGAACAAAGCATCTTCCTTCAGCAAAGGAAACATTCATAAAATGTCTTTATTCAGTGAGATAGTCTTAAAGTGGAAACATGTCACAGTAAAATCTTCAACTATGAATACTGAATTTTCTTATCGAGTTCGCTGGCAATTGTTAAAAGACACTAAAGTAAAGTTTGTTGATTGTTAGGGTAAGTTTTGCTTCAGTATTGTAGCCATGTCTGACAGGGTGGGGCTTGATGGTAAGAGCCCTGCCCCCCGCCTCCCTTACTTACATGCACCTATGCATTGATATTGCCAGTAGTTAGAGGTGAGTAACGGTATCCCTATGTTATGGGTTTTCGATGCTTAAGAAACATACATAGTATTCTCTCTAATCACATGAAACACTGTAAAACATCTCATTCACTTTTAAAAGACAATTTTCGCTTAAAAACAAGCCATCATCTGAGTATTTACAATGTCTGTGTGATGCTACACCCCGCACTATAGCGCGAGTAATTGCAATAAACATTGCCGTCTGAAAACGTATGACGTCCGAAACCCTATGATCTGATGGTATAAGAAACTTCCCACTGACTATGTTCTGACCTGTGTACTATTTCTTCTTGTTTGGTGATCTCAGCATTCTCCCCAGCAACCTTGGCCTTGAACTGTTCAGCAGATATAGGACTTTGTCCAGATTTCTTCAATAAATGATACTGCAAGAAACAAACCACATCATGAAGACAAAGTAGACACAATTTATGGACAACAACTTCTTTAATGCTGTAAAGGCGACGTCTCTGTATCCATAAATTGTGTCTACTTTGTCATCCTTCAACTTCTAAGTAATGCCTATCAAACAATTCACATCATTAAGGCTGTCACGTGACATTGACCCCACCTGTCCCCTGGTCATTCTGTGTAGACAGCCTGCTGATGTACGGTGCTTTTGCTCTGTACACATAACCTGTGATGAAGGTTTCCCAGCACCCCATGCTTGTCTCCCATGGGATTTAGGGTTATACTGGGATCCCAGCACCCCATGCTTGTCTCCCATGGGATTTAGGGTTATACTAGGATCCCAGCACCCCATGCTTGTCTCCCATGGGATTTAGGGTTATACAAGGATCCCAGCACCCTATGTTTGTCTCCCATGGGATTTAGGGTTATACTAGGATCCCAGCACCCTATGTTTGTCTTCCATGGGATTTAGGGTAATACTAGGATCCCAGCACCCCATGCTTGTCTCCCATGGGATTTAGGGTTATACTAGGATCCCAGCACCCCATGCTTGTCTTCCATGGGATTTAGGGTTATACTAGGATCCCAGCACCCCATGCTTGTCTCCCATGGGATTTAGGGTTATACTAGGATCCCAGCACCCTATGCTTGTCTCCCATGGGATTTAGGGTTATACTGGGATCCCAGCACCCCATGCTTGTCTCCCATGGGATTTAGGGTTATACTAGGATCCCAGCACCCTATGTTTGCCTTCCATGGAATTTAGGGTTATACTAGGATCCCAGCACCCTATGTTTGTCTCCCATGGGATTTAGGGTTATACTGGGATCCCAGCACCCCATGCTTGTCTCCCATGGGATTTAGGGTTATACTAGGATCCCAGCACCCTATGTTTGTCTCCCATGAGATTTAGGGTTATACTAGGATCCCAGCACCCTATGTTTGTCTTCCATGGGATTTAGGGTAATACTAGGATCCCAGCACCCCATGCTTGTCTCCCATGGGATTAAGGGTTATACTAGGATCCCAACACCCCATGCTTGTCTTCCATGGGATTTAGGGTTATACTAGGATCCCAGCACCCCATGCTTGTCTCCCATGGGATTTAGGGTTATACTAGGATCCAAGCACCCTATGCTTGTCTCCCATGGGATTTAGGGTTAAACTAGGATCCCAGCACCCTATGTTTGTCTTCCATGGGATTTAGGGTTATACTGGGATCCCAGCACCCCATGCTTGTCTCCCATGGGATTAAAGGTTATACTAGGATCCCAGCACCCTATGTTTGTCTTCCATGGGATTTAGGGTTATACTAGGATCCCAGCACCCTATGTTTGTCTTCCATGGGATTTAGGGTTATACTAGGATCCCAGCACACTATGCTTGTCTCCCATATGATTTAGGGTTATACTAGGATCCCAGCACCCTATGCTTGTCTCCCATGGGATTTAGGGTTATACTAGGATCCCAGCACCCTATGTTTGTCTTCCATGGGATTTAGGGTTATACTAGGATCCCAGCACCCTATGTTTGTCTTCCATGGGATTTAGGGTTATACTAGGATCCCAGGACCCTATGCTTGTCTCCCATGGGATTTAGGGTTATACTAGGATCCCAGCACCCTATGTTTGTCTCCCATGGGATTTAGCGGTAGAACAAGCCCTCAGTATGCCATGCTTGTAAGAGCTCACAAAAGGAGGATGGATCAGGTGTGGTGATTGTGTGGTATCATACCTTGCTTGGATTTATTGTTGCTCATGCCATCAACCCATGGTTTGCCTGGACTAGACTCCATAATTTGCAGAAAGTGATAAGGATGAACTGTTGACTGTGGCATGAAACAACGCTTTCACTCATGCCAGATGTTTCTACACCACATCCACCTATTTCACTTGTTTTGACTAGTTAGTGGTAGCATTGTTATTTTGTAAAATGGACAAAAAAGAAAGTGAAATTGCTGAATTTTAACCCAAATTTAATTTTTTGTCAAAACATGCTAAGAATGGGTACCACATGCTTATGTCCCCTCATAACAAAATGCTATTTAGGCTTTCAAAACAATCAGTGCAAAAATCAAATTAACAGTTTCCATTTGTTGGCAAACATTTCATGTGTATCCACATCCTCCAATACAAAATATCAACTATTTTTCCAACAAACTTGTAAATAAGACATAATACACACTTAGGCCAAAGTTTTCTTTTCCTTGCTCACACAGGTTTTTGTAAAACATCCTGGTTGCTAGGTGGGGAATTGTTTCTACAAGAAATCGCTGTCATGAAAGCAGTGTGTGTTGGATACATGTGATGAGCTGCACACTGGTTGAGAGAAATCTCTCTACTCACCAAATCACGACAAATCTTCAGTTTACCCTCTGCAAACTGCAACCTCCGAGATTCTCGACTAACGTCTTGTTTCCGTTTTTCCTGCAAAGGAAAGCATGCAGTTATTTCCTGTGTGTTCCGGGGAGGATTGATGAAATCAACATTGCTGGATACCATAGTTATTCTAAGAAATGCTCTCAAACAAAACCTATGCATACAGGATATTTTGATATTCTTGTTAAATAAAAGGTTTATCTCATTCAGTGGTCTGAATATATCTGCTTTGTTTGGCAATAAAACACAATTACTATACATAACCAAAGTGTGACATGATTCATCAATATTGTAATAAATTTGAACTTGCTTGGGAAAGCCACCAGATAAATCTGAAGTAACTTCCTCAAACCTGTGGTATCTGAGCTTTGTCTCACGGTGTTATTGAATCATTGGGAGTGCTATTTGACATTGCTGTATTTCACCAGTGAAAAAAATGTTCATATTTCATTCAATAACTTTGGCAGTTCACAGGCAAACTAAGAATAAAAATAAAATTAAACATGCATCATACACATACCTTATTACTTATTGTTAACTTAACAGTCAGTTTTATACTCCTGAACTATGCTGACATGAGAACAATAGTGTCTTTGCCTTGTCTGTGCCTGTCTACAGAGGACAAACTTAGTTTAAGAAGGTTAATCTTCTCTGTACAATTGTCAGTATAGACAAAAACCCTATAATAGAATACAACATACCAAGAAAAATTCCAGGGCCACATTGCATATTTCGATCTTAATGCTAAGAAGATCGTTACTCCCATACTTCAACATTAGCTTACGATAGTCATTGCTCTAAGATTGCTTTGTGGAAATAGGGCCCTGACATCTAATTCAAACATATTGTTCACTAAATGAGTATTAGTAATGAATATCTGTATTTATCACAAATGTCTACAGATAGCTCTTAAGTTCGACAAAATTGAGTACCTATTATCAAATCAAATGGACAGAAAGCATACCCTGGCCGTACACAACACATTGTACCATTTACGGTAATTATGACCATATCCACAGCAGTCAGAAATCACAGGTCACTGCTTGATCAAGTTACAAAACAGGGGCCATTATTAATAAGACCCTATTGTCAGCTGAGAAATGTACAATCACTGGTTGATTTCATGATAGGACCACATGAAAGTTGGCTGTCAGAAGTGAGAGGTGTCACATGCTGGGCCTGGCCCCCGGTCAGGCTTGAACCTCCACACACAGGTGTGGTAGATTTCACCCAACTGGGACTTGGCATTGTTACAAGGGGATAACGTTCCAAAATCTCATAACTGTTGCAAGGGAAAAAAACATATTGATGTAGAATTTCTCCGAGTGTGATCTTGCGCTTATAGTTACTTACTTCAAATGGAAAGGTACATATTTCGTCAAGAAACAAAAAGAAGTTTCAGAAGTCAGTGTGAATGTTAGTGGTGATTAATTATATTTGGAAGTAACAGATTCAAATATGACATGGCAAATTGTGAATTTGTAAACGAAGCTCTGTAAAATTTGTAAAATCAGCTTTCATGTTACAGTTATGAACACAATCCGATTTCAACTACCATATCAGTTTTCAAGATGTCCTATCAAATGTGTAACTATTAAAACCAAATGATAAAGGTACTAACACTTGCTCATTCGAGTCAACATAACACATTTCTTTATGATTAATAAAAGTATATTCTGACTGTGCATGATCAATGACAATTGTTGTATTTAAATTATGCCATGACAAGGATCCATAAACCCACTGAAATATCAAAGGATTGGACACTGACAAGGAACGTAAGACGATTTACATAACAGAGATAGCCGTGTCACTGTTGCTATAGAAAGTATCTGGTTATTTGTCAACTTGTAGACATGAAGAAAACAACACAAGACAGAGGTATCCTTAGCTTCATATAGAGGTTCTATCATTTTAAATTATCATAATCTCTCCATGCATAGGTATAAGCAATGGATATCGAAATTATTTCAAAATTAGTTTTCCAATGATTTCATAATTTGAAACATCAAAGTCAGCAAGTTCGGATTACATTGATTCCAAAGCGCAAATAGTCAACAGACTTTTTGTTATGTGATTAATTCTGTAGAATAAATTCAGCTGAAATACAAAATTAATGTCTTCAGGCTTTGGATGAAAGTGTCAATAAATTTGTTATGGTGGCCAAGTACATAACAGAAAGTGAATGGTGATCTACATTATGTGAAATGTTCCAGGAATAAATTTCTTTTGTCATCGTACCAAGTGTTGACAGAGTCTCCAGGAGCCACTCTAGCACTCACTATCAGCTGAAGGACTCTCCTAGATTGTGCCGATATCACCTATGGGGCTGTACTTAATGACAGCCCTCTCAGTCAATGGTCAATTGTTGCACTGGTGTCAAACATTCAGGCCTTGACATTTCTATACAAACTGTCTTACACTGCACCATCAAATGTAAAACTTGTATAATATATTCATGTCAGTGAGAGTGTGATTCTTGAATATCCTACTTTTCTCTACAGTACTTGATCTGGACTGTAGAGTGTTACCACTCAAACATCCTCTGTTAATTGAAGAATGAGATACTCAACGTTATAATAATCCAGCAGTAATGTATTCAGATCAATCTGAAAATCTTAAGAAACATAACCATGATATTAATAATTCAATAAGCCTGAACATCATACTCTTACTGTCAAATATAGTTACAGTCAATCAGAGTAGAAATCAGGTAAGTAGACATGGGATAAGTAGATTTCCCTGGTCCATGGGTCGGTCATGTTATATAGGCGAATTGATTGCTGGACTAGAAATGACAGGGACATGTGTACATATTGTCACAATAGTTGTCATATTAATTTGTTAGAAGAATAAATGATGGACCTTTATTTTAAACACGTATTGATACTATGTATCTACTCATTGTGTTGCAATTTCAGATTGTGGCTGTGCTGTGTGAATTGTTGTGAATGATGCCACTATTTGGACCTCTCTTGTCGGGTAGGTGGCAACCCAGATAAGTAAATACCTTGGCTGAGTTCCTTACAGCAACAGGACAGTGATGTCAGAGCACGGAAGCTTACCTACTGTGTGGTTACAGGTAACAAATCACATACTCCTGTACACTATGACTAGTACAGCATCATGTGGGAAAAATACATCAAGAGAAACAGGTTCTCCCTTATCATTTAATCTTTCTCTTAAATGTAAGAAGATGCTCATGTATCCACCAATCTGCTAGCGCTAACAGTAATCAAGACAAGATCCATTCAAGCAAAATTGTATTACCTTCAAGACCATCAGCCTGTGCTTCTTGACTTCATATTCATCCACCCTGCAATAGACAACTTTCTGTTACTGACATGGAACATGGACGAGGCTCTGTACAAGTGGGCATCTCAGATCGTTTTCTACATTTTCCTTTTTTATTGAATACTCAAATCATTTTGGATGATCATGAAATATATATAGTTTTGAAATTTACAATTAATGATTAATGTTTAACAGGATGTTTAAAAACTTTCTAATCATAAAACTCTAAAGAAGGAAATATTTCACGAAATTTGACACAGAAGCAAAAATTAACAGTTTTCTGAAAATGCCGAAGAGATGATATGAAATGAACTGAAATGAGCAACACAAAGCCCTCCCTGTACAGACCCTCTGGTGCTACGACACAGACACTGTCTTCAGAGTGCTGTCACTTGTACATTTCACTGATATCTGGTCAGTGAGATAAATGTTGTATTGAACCCCCCACAGACCAATAATAACATGTCTGAGAGTGTAACATACCATGTCAATAACAACGCTATAGACAACGCTGAAACACATTCCTGATTGACAGGTGAGTAAGAGTGGAACCTATACCCCCCTACCTATTATAAATCGCACATGAAGGGTCTACAATGTGTACATTTCAGTGCCATGTATGTCATATTTACTACATGACTGACATATAAGTATTGATATCAACAACTAATATGGCAAAATACAGTAGCAATGTACAACAGGGTCTGTTTGAAGTGTGTGCCCCTTACAGACGTGTAGATAAAAGAGTTTTCAAAATAGAATGTACTTGGTACTGTTTCAATACCAACACATTATATGATACAACTGCCCCATTTCATCCTCCACCCTATACACAAGAAGCCTACACTATAACAAATCAGAGGGTACAGTCAGGAGGTAAAAGTTGCTGCAATTCAATGTGCAGAGTTGTATCCCTTTATTGTGACAGGATGAGCTTTTCAAGGGTTGGAATTGCAGAATTACTCTGATTATGCTCCATGGTTTGACAAAGGTGGTACATGAACACAACTGGTGTCCCTCCTTACACAGGAGGTACATGAACAAAACTGGTGTCCCTCCTGACACAGGAGGTGCATGAACACAACTGGTGTCCCTCCTGACACAGGAGGTATATGAACACAACTTGTGTCCCTCCTGACACAGGAGATGCATGAACACAACTGGTGTCCCTCCTGACACAGGAAGTACATAAACACAACTGGTGTCCCTCCTGACACAGGAGGTACATGAACACAACTGGTGTCCCTCCTGACACAGGAGGTACATGAACACAAATGGTGTCCCTCCTGACACAGGAGGTGCATGAACCCAACTGGTGTCCTCCTGACACAGGAAGTACATAAACACAACTTGTGTCCTGACACAGGAGGTGCATGAACACAACTGGTGTCCCTCCTGACACAGGAAGTACATAAACACAACTTGTGTCCCTCCTGATACAGGAGGTACATGAACACAACTGGTGTCCCTCCTGACACAGGAGGTACATGAACACAAATGGTGTCCCTCCTGACACAGGAGGTGCATGAACACAACTGGTGTCCTCCTGACACAGGAAGTACATAAACACAACTTGTGTCCCTCCTGACACAGGAAGTACATGAACACAACTTGTGTCCCTCCTGACACAGGAGGTGCATGAACACAACTTGTGTCCCTCCTGACACAGGAGGTACATGAACACAACTGGTGTCCCTCCTGACACAGGAGGTACATGAACACAAATGGTGTCCCTCCTGACACAGGAAGTACATGAACACAACTGGTGTCCTCCTGACACAGGAAGTACATAAACACATCTGGTGTCCTCCTGACACAGGAAGTACATAAACACAACTTGTGTCCCTCTTGACACAGGAGGTACATGAACACAACTTGTGTCCCTCCTGACACAGGAAGTACATGAACACAACTGGTGTCCTGACACAGGAGGTGCATAAACACAACTTGTGTCCCTCCTGACACAGGAAGTACATGAACACAACTTGTGTCCCTCCTGACACAGGAGGTGCATGAACACAACTTGTGTCCCTCCTGACACAGGAGGTACATGAACACAACTGGTGTCCCTCCTGACACAGGAGGTACATGAACACAAATGGTGTCCCTCCTGACACAGGAAGTACATGAACACAACTGGTGTCCTCCTGACACAGGAAGTACATAAACACAACTTGTGTCCCTCTTGACACAGGAGGTACATGAACACAACTTGTGTCCCTCCTGACACAGGAAGTACATGAACACAACTTGTGTCCTGACACAGGAGGTGCATGAACACAACTTGTGTCCTGACACAGGAAGTACATGAACACAACTTGTGTCCTGACACAGGAGGTACATGAACACAACTTGTGTCCCTCCTGACACAGGAAGTACATGAACACAACTTGTGTCCTGACACAAGAGGTACATGAACACAACTTGTGTCCTGACACAGGAGGTGCATGAACACAACTTGTGTCCTGACACAGGAGGTGCATGAACACAACTTGTGTCCCTCCTGAAACAGGAATTACATGAACACAACTGGTGTCCCTCCTGACACAGGAGGTGCATGAACACAACTGGTGTCCCTCCTGACACAGGAAGTGCATGAACACAACTGGTGTCCTCCTGACACAGGAAGTACATAAACACAACTGGTGTCCTCCTGACACAGGAAGTACATAAACACAACTGGTGTCCTCCTGACACAGGAAGTACATGAACACAACTGGTGTCCTCCTGACACAGGAAGTACATAAACACAACTGGTGTCCCTCCTGACACAGGAGGTGCATGAACACAAATGGTGTCCTCCTGACACAGGAAGTACATGAACACAACTTGTGTCCTGACACAAGAGGTACATGAACACAACTTGTGTCCTGACACAGGAGGTGCATGAACACAACTTGTGTCCCTCCTGAAACAGGAAGTACATAAACACAACTGGTGTCCTCCTGACACAGGAGGTACATGAACACAACTGGTGTCCCTCCTGACACAGGAGGTGCATGAACACAACTTGTGTCCCTCCTGACACAGGAAGTACATAAACACAACTTGTGTCCCTCCTGACACAGGAAGTACATAAACACAACTGGTGTCCTCCTGACACAGGAAGTACATAAACACAACTGGTGTCCTCCTGACACAGGAGGTACATGAACACAACTTGTGTCCCTCCTGACACAGGAAGTACATGAACACAACTGGTGTCCTCCTGACACAGGAAGTACATAAACACAACTGGTGTCCTCCTGACACAAGAGGTACATGAACACAACTTGTGTCCTGACACAGGAGGTGCATGAACACAACTGGTGTCCTCCTGACACAGGAAGTACATAAACACAACTGGTGTCCTCCTGACACAGGAGGTACATGAACACAACTTGTGTCCCTCCTGACACAGGAGGTGCATGAGCACAACTTGTGTCCTGACACAGGAGGTGCATGAACACAACTTGTGTCCCTCCTGACACAGGAAGTAAATGAACACAACTGGTGTCCCTCCTGACACAGGAGGTGCATGAACACAACTTGTGTCCTCCTGACACAGGAGGTGCATGAACACAACTGGTGTCCCTCCTGACACAGGAAGTACATAAACACAACTGGTGTCCCTCCTGACACAGGAAGTACATGAACGCAACTGGTGTCCTCCTGACACAGGAGGTGCATGAACACAACTTGTGTCCCTCCTGACACAGGTGGTACATAAACACAACTGGTGTCCTCCTGACACAGGAGGTGCATGAACACAACTTGTGTCCCTCCTGACACAGGAGCTACATGAACACAACTTGTGTCCTGACACAGGAGGTGCATGAACACAACTGGTGTCCTCCTGACACAGGAAGTACATGAACACAAATGGTGTCCCTCCTGACACAGGAAGTACATGAACACAACTGGTGTCCTCCTGACACAGGAGGTGCATGAACACAACTGGTGTCCTCCTGACACAGGAAGTAAATGAACACAACTGGTGTCCCTTCTGACACAGGAGCTACATGAACACAACTGGTGTCCCTCCTGACACAGGAGGTGCATGAACACAACTGGTGTCCCTCCTGACACAGGAGGTACATGAACACAACTTGTGTCCCTCCTGACACAGGAAGTACATAAACACAACTGGTGTCCCTCCTGACACAGGAAGTACATGAACACAACTGGTGTCCTCCTGACACAGGAGGTGCATGAACACAACTGGTGTCCTCCTGACACAGGAGGTGCATGAACACAACTGGTGTCCTCCTGACACAGGAGGTGCATGAACACAACTGGTGTCCCTCCTGACACAGGAGGTGCATGAACACAACTGGTGTCCTCCTGACACAGGAGGTGCATGAACACAACTGGTGTCCCTCCTGACACAGGAGGTGCATGAACACAACTGGTGTCCCTCCTGACACAGGAGGTACATGAACACAACTGGTGTCCCTTCTGACACAGGCGCTACATGAACGCAACATGATGTACCAACTGCTGTGATACACTTACCATGTCATCAGCTGACTGGGGTGCAATGAACGACATCCTATTGCTTATCACCAGAGACATATTGAAACTGACAACTGTACATTTCACAAACTCCTATCATTCCCTTGTGAAAAGCAGGCAAAGGACTGAACAGATCATCACTCACAACCTGTTATGTTTGAAATCTACAAGAATCCATCTAAATCAACAACAGCACATTGATTCTTCACAAACTGGACACAATTACAATGCCTATTGTCAACTCAGCAAACAGTACAGGGCAGAAACACAGACCAGCAATTATCATGAAAAGCAAGAACTGCTAACGATATGAATATGTGTTAATATTGACAGCAGAGTTTGTTGATAGGGCGTAAGAAGCAATATTGTGGCTGGGTGAATGTTCATTTCATCTGAAACATCTCACTGATGTGGTGTAATGGACAACTCATGTGAGACACCCTATGTCATTGTGACTTCAACAGGACCAGTGATGACACACGGACACAGGATCAATTACATTCTATATCATCAACATTTCACAATGTAATTATATTATATACTCTTTCATTAATTACAACTAGGGTAAATGTTATTTGAGAACTTTAATAAATTCTATCATTAGAATCTATTTCTCATTTAAGAAATCATTTTTAAACAGTTAAATGAATATAAGAAAAAAAAGTGTTTTCCTTGGGTGAATACAAGACTTTGATTATTATTTATCAGTGTGTTTGAAACATTTCATCAAAATACACCTCAATAGGAAATAACTATGGAAAGTCATAACAATATATATTCATCCTCCATCAGTCCGTACTGGGTGGACATTTCAAACAGATCATAGGAACAGATACCCGGTATAATAAAAAAATATCACTGGATATCTGTCCAAATATCAATATAAAGTATCTGAAATTGACATTTAGGTCTCTGACAACAAGTGTGATGCTGACACTTCAAATCAAGGCAATGAAAACAGCAATGCACCTGTTCCTAAGAAACAAATATTAGTTCATCACCACAATCTTTACCTCCGTTTCCTGGCTTGCAAAGAGTTTGGCGAAATCCGATCGGGGAGGTAGGCAAAGACATTGACAGGACAGTCTATAGATAGGCCTGGAATATACAAGCATGCAATTACTGTGACAATCGAGGAACAGACCCATGGTATAGCTTCATGCGAAACATGTGAAACAAATGACCAGACTTTGGTGGGGGCTGGTGTTTGTCGCCAGGCTTTTGTGGTGCTAAAACAATGAAATATGATCACAGCAACTGTTGACATCAACTTGAGAGGTCTACACAAGAAATAATGCTGGTAGTTTATCATATTCTTGAGTCACATTTAAGTCAAGTAACCATAGATAATTTGATCAGAGTGAGTGACAGTGAATAATGCTGCATCAGCAATTCTACAGCTATTTGCTGAGTTGTTCAAAGAGATTTACTCTTTCTTCATTACAAACAAGGTTTACTGATCAAATGTGAGTCAGGATTATAACACATTGTCTTGTGTTCAGTTTTCTACTCCTTCATTAAATGCTTCAATCCGTTCATGTTTTATTACCCAGCCCAGCACCCCTATCACCTGCCCCACTCAAATCCAAAATGATTAAAAATGATTTTAAAAAATGGGTCTCTGGCCATTCATTGTTCATCTGTCTGTAATCAAATCATTTTGCCTTATGTCATTCACATGGAAACAATTAGGCTTCGAATAAGAAGCATTCACTTTCCTACGTGACATAATCATTAAGAAATATTGCAGTCAACAAATATGGCAAACTAGATTATCCATAAAATCAAGGGCATATCACATATTCTACAGACCTACCAGTTGGTCAGGAAGCTGGCCAATGTCCACCATTGCACAAATTTTATCACTTGTAGAGGCTCCAAATTTCTCATGTTCCAAATGTCTTGTTAACATGATAATGTCTGTTATTTAAACTTGCATTGATGCAGTGCATTTAACAGTTAGCTCATGTGATGACAATGGGTTGAAATCATTTACTGATTAAGATAGGAACAGCATGTTGTGTTTATGTTAGGCACTTGTTGGTTGAATACAGCACTCAACGAAGGAAATACGGAGACCTATCAACCATTACCAAGAACGGGGTAAAATAGGTCTTCATCAACCCATGCTTGCCGTAAAAGGCGACTGACTATGCTTGCTGTAAAAGGCGTCTAACGGAATCAGGCGGTTAGACTCTCTGACTTGGTTGATGCATGTCATCATATCCCAGTTGCGTAGATTTATGCTCATGATGTCAATCACTGGTTAGTCTGTTCCAGACTTAATTATTTACCGACTGCCGTCATACAGCTGTAATATTGCTGAGTGTGGCATTTTATAACAAACAAACAAACATTACCTAGAGCCTTTCAGCCACAGTCATGGCTTCAGCACTGGAACTAATCTAGTGGGTCCATCAAGGCAATACCTGCCGTTGTTTCTTCCACTCAACAAGTTGACCATCATGAATAGCTTTAGAAGCTGCAGGCAGATCAAGTTGGTACCTATCAATGTCCTCATGAGGGTCTTAACGAGGAGGCACACCACCATCCATATCACATTTTACTGAGCACTGACACACCCTTCTTGAGGGTCTTAACGAGGTGGAACACCACCATCCATATCACATTTTTCAGGACATAGACAAACTCTTCTTGAGGGTCTTAACGAGTTGGTACAGCGCCATCCATATCACATTTTGCAGGACATAATCCTTGTCACCTATTACAGGAACATACCTTTCTTGAGGGTCCTGATGAGGTGACAGGCCACCATCCATTCCTCTGGGTCGAGACTGCCATCCCTATTGACGTCAGCGATGTCCCAGATGCGTCCCAGCTGGTCTGGCGGGAGTCCGGAGAGACTGAAGACTTCCCGTGCCATGTCAGCTGGAAAGGAGAGAAGCTAAATGCAGCAGTAGTATACAACAAACCTAGTTGTCATAGTGGTTATAACATGGATCTGTTCATGAGGTGTACAACAAACCTAGTTGTCATAGTGGTTATAACATGGATCTTTTCATGAAGTATACCACAAACCTAGTTGTCATAGTGGTTATAACATGGATCTTTTCATGAAGTATACCACAAACCTAGTTTTCATAGTGGTTATAACATGGATCTTTTCATGAAGTATACCACAAACCTAGTTGTCATAGTGGTTATAACATGGATCTTTTCATGAAGTATACCACAAACCTAGTTGTCATAGTGGTTTTAACATGGATCTTTTCATCTGGTATACAACAAACCTAGTTGTCATAGTGGTCATAACATGGATCTGTTCATGAGGTGTACAACAAACCTAGTTGTCATAGTGGTTATAACATGGATCTTTTCATGAAGTATACCACAAACCTAGTTGTCATAGTGGTTTTAACATGGATCTTTTCATCTGGTATACAACAAACCTAGTTGTCATAGTGGTCATAACATGGATCTGTTCATGAGGTATACAGACGGTCCGGTAGCCTAGTGGTTAAAGCGTTCACTCATCACTTACTACAGATGTATGACTTCACTCAATGATCAGTACTGACATCAAAACACCATCGGTACCACAATACATTGTTCATCTCCTGATATGTACTGCTGAGTTCTATTTCCCAAATACCATATTTGTATCTGCAGATGTCAAATGCTCATGCTATCTTTGGTCAACACAATACATTATAAAGCCATAATGTCAGTTTATACCAGTTTGCAGATAGTTTTATGAGCAAACAATAAATGAATTACCAGCATGATCCCCACCAATACACAATATGCTTCATGTGTCACAGCAATGAGACCCATGCGAGAGAGGTGATTAACGGGATCGGGTGGTCAGTCTAGCTGACTTGGTTGAGGCATGTTATCATCCCAAATACATAGACTGATGCTCACAATGTCAATCACTGGATTGTCTGGTCCAGACTTGATTATTTATCGACAGCCATCATATAGCTGGAACATTGCTGAGTGTGGCGTTACACAACAAACAAACAAGGGTAGCAATGAGTTGGATATCTCTGTGCACCATGCAGCACATAAGTTGTCTTATTATTCCAGCATTAATGTTCACATAAACCTTTTCATGATATTGAACCACCGAAAACATGAAAATTAACACAGAAAAACTCCATTTCAATATAACTACTTCCACTGGTATGCAGTAAAACAAACATTAAAAACAATATCAAATTTCTGAAAATTGAATGTCTGTAAAGTATGGATGCAGATACAATTTATTGAAATAAAGTAACACTGATAGAAGGATTCAGTGTATCAGAATGTATTCTTGTACAGAATTTCTGCCACAGCATTTGCTCAATGTACAAACCCGATAAAAGGAAAGGCAATGCCAGATAAATATTTCAGATGGAAAAAAAGTCAGATTTGTTGTTTTCTCAAAATTTATAAACAAAGTGAAAAAAATTACTGAAACTGGCTTCTCTGGATCTGTTAAATCTACTGAATAAACAGATTTGTTATATTTGGTTGTCAAAGAAATTAATGCTGGGATGAGTCCAGATTTACTACAAGGGTACCCATCCCCCTATCACCCAACCCTACCAGGGTACCAGCTGTAGGTCTCAAGAGATAGGTACTAAATGACAAATTGGGAATAGTTTGACTCTAGCCTTGACAAAAAGTATTCAGATACATATATATCTGGTTATGTATCCACTGAAGTTGACTGAAGTTATATCTTTTTTCAAAGGTATAAAAGTCAAAAGGAATGGGTGCAGTCAGAAAGAAATGAGAACATTAGTGACTTGTAGTGTAACCATTGAGCTCTAGATAATATTTGTCATTAAACAATAGATCATGTGACTAACCATGGGTTCTGGTCGTCCTGTGGTAGTACCCGGGTCCTACTACGTACCCACCCAGCCCAAGTACCCAAGTTACCCGTCCCACCCTGATGATATGTACCGCTATGCACATGCAGCCCATGTTATCGCACTATCCATGATCATGCAGAAAACATGACTATCACAAGCTTAAACTGAGAGTGTTTGACATCAGTTCATGATATCTACCGACAAACCATCTCACCTGCAAAGCATCACACTGTAAGACTAACACAGTTATGTCCCTTGTTAGGCATTCCTATCGTGTCAGCAAAGAAATGTGACCCTACCAAACGTTAACTATTGATTGTATCAAAAACAGCTGGGATATGTTTATTTCAAACTGACAGAAATCATTATTCAGTGTCAAAAGTTTAAGTGTAGTTATTTGAACAATACCTGCTAATCAATACCTGCATGCCTGTGACCATGACCTTGATGCTTTAAAACTGGTATAACTAGCTATCAGGTGAAACATACCGCTGAATTTAGAGATGACATTGATGCTGCTTCCTCATTTAAAGTTAAGACGTTAGTTAATCATTGCTTGCCATATTATCACATTAACCAGGCCAGTTTTTTCAGAACAGATCATCTGATGAGAAAAGGAATGGGTTGTGAAAAAATGCATAACATCTTTTGTCACAAATTCAACATTTACACTCATGGTAATCTACAGTTTATTATCTTGACCTTATATATTAGATCTGCTACTGTAACGTTACATTCCATACAATACTTTATTGCTAACTCAATGCGGTGTCTCTTAATTACCTGACATATTGCATATACCTTGCCAGCTGTTAAATGTTTCAATTTTTAAACACTTGATAAACAATTTTATGTACTGAATCTGTCACATAATTCTGGTGCCAGCTGCACCGCATGAAAGGTGTTCCTACGACACAGTCAGTTCCTACAGTAGTTGATATGTTCCTATGATGCACTCAATTCCTATAATAGTTGATACGTTAACATGTCTCTATGATGCAGTCAGTTCTTACAATACCGTATGCGATGTAATAAGCGCCCCGCTCTAATAAGCGCCCACGGCGATATTTGCTAATATATTGACTAGTGAACAATCCCAATTAGCACCCCTCGGATTGACCAATGTACACAAGACTTATTTATTCACGTATAATACGCACTCGTGTGTTATATGCACCCGTAATTATAGGCAATTAAATTCTGGAAAAATATATATGTCGTATATAAACATTTCAGGCTGTCAGCATAAACCACGAAATTCCTCTTTTAACTCTGTTGTTTTTTCACCAGAATAATATTCTAATAAGAGCCCCCTTTTTCTAATTTTGAGAGCACCCTGGGCGCTTATTACGTCGAATACGGTAGTTGAAATGTTAACATGTCTCTATGATGCAGTCATTTCTTACAAGAGTTGAAATGTTAACATGTCTCTATGATGCAGTCATTTCTTACAAGAGTTGAAATGTTAACATGTCTCTATGATGCAGTCATTTCTTACAAGAGTTGAAATGTTACCATGTCTCTAGTCAGTTCTTACAAGAGTTGAAATGTTAACATGTCTCTATGATGCAGTCATTTCTTACAAGAGTTGAAATGTTACCATGTCTCTAGTCAGTTCTTACAAGAGTTGAAATGTTAACATGTCTCTATGATGCAGTCATTTCTTACAAGAGTTGAAATGTTAACATGTCTCTAGTCAGTTCTTACAAGAGTTGAAATGTTACCATGTCTCTAGTCAGTTCTTACAATAGTTGAAATGTTACCATGTCTCTAGTCAGTTCTTACAAGAGTTGAAATGTTAACATGTCTCTATGATGCAGTCATTTCTTACAAGAGTTGAAATGTTAACATGTCTCTAGTCAGTTCCTACAAGAGTTGAAATGTTAACATGCCTCTATGATGCAGTCATTTCTTACAATAGTTGAAATGTTAACATGTCTCTAGTCAGTTCTTACAATAGTTGAAATGTTAACATGCCTCTATGATGCAGTCAGTTCTTACAAGAGTTAAATGTTAATATGTCCCATTGCAGCAAATAAAGCTGATGAGAGTTGATAATCATTCTGAAAGACAAACTAAAACCATGGTAGGCTGGATATTGGCCGACATTTTCTGAAAACTACTTATTGGTGATTTCCTACACCTGTATGTGTACTGAATAGTACTAAACTAAACTACGCTGAACCAATATTATCCTGACAAATTTGATGGTGTCATAAATCTATAGTTTTGTCTTCGGACTCACCTTCAATAAATCCAGAGTTGGTTTTGTCTAAAAGTTTGAATATTTTCTTGTAAGCCTCTCTTTCGGAATCGGCCAGCGGTTCCGACAGCATCTCTGAGGTGGGGGGTGTGAGGTAGCGGGGGAGGGGCAGAGGTAACTTGAGACCCTCCAGGGTCCCGAGGGTGAGGTGCATGGCCAGCACGAACTCATGGACATTCAGGAGGTTGTCATTACTCACATCAGCGAGGTTCCTGAAACACACGACAAAATGTTGAAGCAGGACTTCTCGGAGAGCCTTCTATTGTGTTGAAATGGAAACATGACGTAAGACAAAGGAAAAATACAGGGAAATACCCAGAGATGGTATCTCACCATTGCTGTGATTTGGTAAGAGTCCAACCTTCAACTTTCAACTGTTGTCCTTTGGACTCGTTGTGAGGATTGTCGATCTGAATAATGACCAAGTTCTGACTGGTCCAATACCAATTATTACTTAAACTGCCATGATACTGCTGTAATATCACTGGCTTGCTCCCTCCCTCGCACCCTTGTTTGTTTTTAGACAACTCACTATTCACCTACTCCAGGAAGTCTGATTTATGTAATGTGTAAGTAGTTTCAGTGTCAGTATATTTGTAGTAATTGTCAGTGGCAGCAGCAAATAATTGAAATAGTTGTAAAGCATATTTAGTGCTGTCATGACCAGAGTTGAACTGCAGTCAACAGCAGTAGCAAGTGGAGCTTTCCCGAAAGTTTTGTATGAGAATTAGTTATCTGCCCTTGTGGTATACATGAACATGGCAGGGTTGATCATTCTGGAAGTGTCTGGATGGGGCAGTTCCTAGAAGGCTGGCTGTACCTATACAAGAGTGACAAGTGGGCGATTCGAAGCCTTTTCTACCTGACTTTCCAGGTCCGGTTTTGATACCTGTTTGGAAACACTGAATTCCTGCCAGCTTCCAACACTATTCTGGATACAAGAATGGTGACAAGCCTCTTTAAATATATTCAACAGTGACAATATTCTGAACATTCGTGAGGGCCTGTTACTTATTGCTGCTGCCACTCAGTGACTGAGTGAGTGAGTTGGGCTTAACACCGCTTTAAACAGTATTCCAGTTATATTGCGGCGTGTCAGCTTAATATGGGAGGAAAGTCCGAAGTGATGCAGGTCTTAGATGTTTACCACTTCAATGAAACCCATGAGCAAGGGTATGGTGCTGACAAACCTAGAAACATAATCGGGGTGAACCGGGATTCAAACCCACAATCATAGGTTTCTGACGTACCAAAGGGAACAATTCTGCACAGCGAAAAGCGGCGCCTTAGTCGACTGGGCCACCCGTGCCTCCCCAATCATGTGACCCATTGTATTGTCATTTTGATCGTTAACCTCAAGCTGTGTGCTTAACTATACTAGTAGTTTATTGATTATTCATTGAACATGTGTGGTCATTTACTGATTTCACAATTTAGCTCTGTGCAAACTGATAACTGGGTTAACATCTTCATTCCAATCTGGAAATCACCTCTAACATAGACTTATGACAAAACACCATCATATCACTCGGACTGTCACAACTGTCTTCAAAGAAGTAATATTTAGACAGTTGTTTTGCTGAAATTGCTTGTGCAATGTCGGCTGGGTTTAACAGTTTTCAGCAATATTTCAGTCACATCACAGCCGTCAGTCTTAATGGAGGAAGCCTGACAGTGTGACATCTACCATGAAGCCCATGAGCATGGGTATGAAGCTGACAGACCAAGGGTCATCATGTGTTAATGGCTGCAAGTGACTTCAGAACACAGCACGTTCAGGAGGACACATCTTTGCTATGGATTGTTGACAAATTTTTTTCCACAAAAATATGTCACAAAGGATTGAATCTCTCCTGACTACATTCTTGTGCACTGAGGCATGACCCATGCATGCAACATTAAACTGGAAGTTGTCCTCATCATCCAATGCTTGCTGTAAGATGTGACATACATGGATCAGGTGGGCAGGCCAACCCAGAAGTTAGGGATCATTGCACACAATATCTGGTTAATCAGCCGACACCGGATTGTTTACAATATTTACCAGCCTTCGTGACGCAGCTGGACCATTTCTGTCATAAAACAACATACACTCACACACTCATTTGCAAAGAAAAATACCTCAGTTTCTGAGAACAAAATCTTCTGTTTCAATCAGATAATGTTTAAAAAGTACAGTTATTCCTTTCTAGCACACCCTAACTTCACTGATATTTTTTCATGAATTTTTTCACAATTCTCCTACAGAGAAAAAAACGTGATGAGATTCAATGTAAGAACTGAATACAGATTGTCAATGCAAGAGAATAACGTGTCTATATTATCGATCGAAACAGATACCATTTGGCATAAAGGGCAAGATGACTGTGAGAATTATGTACCATTGAAAAATCAGTGATGACACCAAGTTTTTTAAAAAAAGGTAAGTATTTGCATAAACAAGTAATGATCCATTACTTTATGCCGCACATCAGTAATACTATATATATGTGGTCTCATGGCCATTTAGTTATGTTCAGATACCCTATACCACTGCAATGATTAATAATAACAATAACAATGTGCATATTTCTAATGCATTAAATCCACACCCTAAAGAGTGCTCAGAGCTCTGCATTATTACCCTGGTGAATGGAGCAATGTGCACATGATTTTCATTTTCAGCTCCCTGGGAAGTATACCTGCCAAGCTGCCTGTGAGCTAGGACAACAGTCATGTTACCATATGCTGCCAGGTACCCACTCACTGCTGGGTGAACCGAGACTTGTGCTTCAGTGTGGGGCAGGACTGAAGGCCCCGAAACTCAGGAGTCAAGCTGGAGTCACCATCCAACTACTCTCCGACCACATGCCACTTTCATTTGTCTGTCACAGTAACTGATTGGTTGTGCACAACGATATCATCTGATATTAAATATTTATTTCAAATATTTGCTATTCTATTAAAGCTATACATCACTGAAAACATAAACCTCATCACTATAACAGACATTATTTTTTTTTACGATTTAACATGTTTAAGTAAGATATATATATTTTTTATCTCTGATAAACATGATAAAAGCAGGTACTTTGACACAAAAATTACAGGTAATTACACAAAATACAAGTAACCAATTATGACTGATTATTGATCCAGTCACCATAATTAAACCAACCATACAATTACAAGATCCATGAAGAAAAACTATCAAATGCTGACAATATACATAGATACCCTCCAAAAGGGCCTCCACACACCTACACCAGCCCCAACCATGGAGAAGTATGATTCATCTAATATCAGTGCCCCGAGCTGTTCAGATCAATGTAATTGCATACCAAAGTTGATATGACAGGATAAATTGACCTTAAATATGATTACAATAGAAATTCCTAGTAGTTTCATCTCACAAATGACGTGGTTCAGCATTGTTCAGCGTCATTCAGCTTGTTGAGCATCAAGGGGTATTGTCTGGTTATGCATCATACATAAATGTCCTCTTTGTGTAAAGGTCACCAAGTTCACCACAAACAAGACAAGGATGGTTTGTGTTTCACTATGCAGTCAACTGTAAAGTATTTCAAGCATTTTGTTGACAAGGTAAATCGTATCAATGATCAACATGATTTTGTCATAGAAAACTCCAGCACAATTATACCATTTCATTCTTAATTTTTCTAAACTTCCAATCAATGTTCCTATGTTTATTTTGCGCCATGCATGAAAGTTCTTGTTTTATATCATGTTATCCTTTTTCCATTAGACTGAGGTATATTCTTTATATCAAAAATGTCTTTCACAAAAACAAACAAATACAACTTAAATAACAATATCTTCCCTTGTCCTAATGATAACTTCTGAAAAACAGTTATTAATTACAAATATTGTTGCCATGGTTACAATGATATCAACAGTGCAACTCTTTCATGATATGCACGGCATTGTGCATACAGGCATACCGTTATGGCTACACTTATTGTGGGCTGTTGTCACTGCCTTTACAGGGCGGTTGGGTAGCCTAGTGGTTTAAGCATTCGCTCGTCACGCAGAAGACCCGGGTTCGATTCCCGACATGGGTACAATGTGTGAAGCCTATTTCTGGTGTCCCCCAATCTCATTAAAATCAGATCTTAGTTTTCGCTACTGCTAAACAAAGACCTGAGGACATCCCATTACGGGTCACGTTAGAATGACCTTTCACGAATTTTGACCGACCAATGAAATAACTGACAAGAAATCGACATTAGCCAATCAGAAGGCAGCTTTCTCGAGCTTTACCACACTAGTTTCAAACTGGCGACTGTCTGGTAGGGACTTGATTATTTACAGACTGCCATCACACAGCTGTAATATTGCTGAGTGCGGCATTAAACAAAAAACAAAACAAACAATCAACATGACAATGAGTGAGTGAGTTGGGTTTAATGCCGCTTTTAACAGTATTCCAGTGATTTGTCAGCTTAATGTGGGAGAAAAGCCCGAAGTGATGCAGGTCTCGGATGTTTACCACTTCGGTGAAACCCATGCGCACAGTTATGGTGCTGACAAACCTAGAAACATAATCGGGGCGAACCGGGATTCGAACCCACAATCATAGGTTTCTGGCGTGCATAAGGGACACAACTCTTCACAGCAAATTGTGGCCCCCTGTGCCCCCCAACATCACAATGAGAAATGAACCAAAATAAGCACACTTCATATTAAGTCAAATTTATCAAAGAGCAAAAACTAAGAATATTTTCCAATTGTCTAAATCAAACAGAAATTAACAGAGAAGCATTATATTAGACCAGGAATAATATCCAAACATGAAAACCTGCAATAGTATATTAAACATGTCTCTAAACACTACACGCAACCTGCAACACTGATCCTACATTGAACCCTGTACATTGCGCTATGTACGTCCTTGTTATGAAGTCCGAGTGTTAAATGGACATACTGTCTGTGACATGGATCAGCTATGGACGATTACCTCGCTTCATGCTGTAAGACTCACTCCGACATTACACTTGTCACATAGAAATTGTCCACATGTCTACACTGGATAACCTCACTCGTCTGACATTCATGTTCATAAATAATGCCAAACGTGTCCTCTGGAGACCAACATTGAAGATGATGAAAACATTCAAATCTGGTACAACTTTCTGTTGATGAGACATTGGGCATTCTTTTGACACTCACAAAAAGTTAAATCTTCCAGCAGATAACATGTCATTTGTGAAGC